AAACGACTAGAATGTTGTGGAGGAAGGCCGTCAACGCCCGAACCTTACCCATGTGTCTTAACTACTAACCCATGTTGAAGGCATGAACTGACCTTGGACGCTTTCCCCTTCGTCGCAATTTTCACACAACCAACTAATTCCTCACCTAGCTAAACACAATCATCACTGAAGAATCCCTGCTCAATTCCCCCACTGTAACAGCCCCTCACCTTAGTAATAACCAAAATCACAAAGGACAAAGGCAACCGCCAGTAGTATGGTTCCAATGCCATCTTGTTCACATTGTAATCGCGCATTCCAATCACATATCGGTTTGGTTGGACACCGGCGAACTCACTGCAACGTGATTGGAGAGTCGGCACCTGGAACCTGGTCAACACGCCTTGGCCACCCGCACTGAACCCGCATCTCCATCCACTGCATAGGTCTGGTCGGTCATAAGCGTACGCATTAAGGCAACCCATCACTCACGCAACATCACTCGGAAGAATGCCACCTAGCGAGATGAGTCAATCCCCCCTCCTTCCTTGAATCAAGGGTCAGACTACAATGGCTCCTTAGCGTGCCCCTTGTAGGAACACTCAATTCTGTGAGACCTCAATCTGTGTGTGGTACGCGTTAGCTTGTGCCTTCGCACCACATCAGCCACTGTGACCAATCTCACCTCTCGGTCAGCTTGGCTGGGGCTGACTACATGTAATTTGAACGCGATGGGTGGGGAATGAGAGCGAGACAGAAACTGCGCAAATCTGGTTTACTATAAGTGTATTCACACTGCGCCCTGTTCAACCCCACATTACTGGGTATCTTCGATAGCAACCAACAAAGGTTGAACCCGTAAAGCAGTGCAGAAGATAACTCGCTGCTCGAATGACCCTGGTTCCAACCCCAGGCATGCAGCTTGAGGGCTGGTAGCAGCAGATAAGCCGGAAATGGCCATTTCTGTGCTCCTGTCGTCGCTGTTAAAACTTTAAGCTAGAGATTGATAGTCGCCATGCTAAGGCCTGCAGGGGCTGTAGGCGCTTGGCCCAAACCAAAAACGGGAGTGCTCAGTTCCGTTCTGCGATTAGAATAGGTCACTGCACACCAACCCCATATGACTGATCAAAAGCAAGTGAGATTTCGGAAAAACGGAGGAAACATACCTTTCGTCTAGATATACTGCCGCCCATTTGTTGATCATGCTTGTCAAAGTTTCTTCATCAAGAATTAGCAGCAGGCGTTTGAGGCAAAGGGCGCTGGTTTTTGGAACACCCTCGGTGTCTAGACGTCGAAGGAGGAGAATGGGGTCCTCATCAACCACCTCGAACCAAGCCCGCAACAAATCTTCAGCGGCTTTTTGAACCTCACCTGAATATAAAGAGACTGCCTCAGAAAGTATGGTTCGGAAGGGATAAGATGAAATAACACTCATCAATATATGTCCAGTGAACGGCCCAGCTGTCAATTAACGAAACAAATTTATTAGTAC